GGGGGTGGCCGCCCCCCTGCCACAGGGAGACCTGGATGTTTCTGGTCCAAAGGTGGACATTGAGGGTCCAGAGCTGGACATTGAAGGGCCAGAGGGGAAGGTGAAGGGTCCCAAGTTCAAGATGCCCGAGATGCACATCAAGGCCCCCAAGATCTCCATGCCCGATGTTGACTTCAACCTGAAGGGCCCCAAAGTGAAGGGGGATGTGGACGTGTCTGTTCCCAAGCTGGAAGGTGATCTGAAGGGCCCTGAGCTGGACATCAAGGGCCCCAAAGTGGACATTGGCACATCAAGGCCCCCAAGATCTCCATGCCCGATGTTGACTTCAACCTGAAGGGCCCCAAAGTGAAGGGGGATGTGGACGTGTCTGTTCCCAAGCTGGAAGGTGATCTGAAGGGCCCTGAGCTGGACATCAAGGGCCCCAAAGTGGACATTGAGGCACCTGATGTGGACCTTCATGGCCCAGAAGGGAAATTCAAACTGCCCCAGTTCAGGGATGCCGGGCTTCAAAGCGGAAGGTCCGGAGGTGGACGTGAACCTGCCGAAGGGAGACCTGGATGTTTCTGGTCCAAAGGTGCACATTGAGGGTCCAGAGCTGGATATCGAAGGGCCAGAAGGGAAGGTGAAGGGTCCCAAGTTCAAGATGCCCGAGATGCACATCAAGACACCCAAGATCTCCATGCCCGATGTTGACTTCAACCTGAAGGGCCCCAAAGTCAAAGGGGATGTGGACTTGTCTGTTCCCAAGCTGGAAGGTGATTTGAAGGGCCCTAAAATTGATATCAAGGGCCCCAAAGTTGATGTGAACCTTCCTGACGTTGAGCTGGAAGGCCCAGAAGGGAAGCTGAAGGGCCCCAAGTTCAAGATGCCTGAGATGCACATCAAGGCCCCCAAGATCTCCATGCCCGATGTTGACTTCAACCTGAAGGGCCCCAAAGTCAAAGGGGATGTGGACTTGTCTGTTCCCAAGCTGGAGGGTGACTTGAAGGGCCCTGAGGTGGACATCAAGGGCCCCAAAGTGGACATTGAGGCACCTGACGTGGACGTCAAGGTCCCAGAAGGCAAATTCAAACTGCCCAAGTTCAAGATGCCCAAGTTCGGGATGCCGGGGCTGAAAGCAGAAGGTCCTGAAGTTGATGTGAACCTCACGAAAGCGGATATTGAAGTCTCCGTCCCAAAGGCGGACATCGACGTGCCAAGTGTGGACATTGAGGGTCCCGATGGAAAACTGAAGGGCCCCAAGTTCAAGATGCCCGAGATGAACATCAAGGCCCCCAAGATCTCCATGCCCAACATTGACCTGAACCTGAAAGGCCCCAAAGTGAAGGGAGGAGCTGACGTTTCCCTTCCAAAATTAGAGGGTGACCTGAAAGGACCTGATGTGAATATTAAAGGTCCCAAGTTGGACGTTGACATTCCTGATATTGACGTTGAAGGTCCGGAGGGCAAATGGAGAGGACCCAAGATAAAAATGCCGGATATGCACATAAAGGCACCCAAATTTTCGATGCCGGATGTGGACCTCAACCTGAAAGGCCCCAAAGTGAAGGGAGAAATGGACGTTTCGGTCCCGAAACTGGAGGGGGATGTGAAAGGGCCGCATCTGGATCTGAAAGGGCCCAAGGTGGGCGTAGAAGTTCCTGACATCGACGTTGAAGGCCCAGAGGGGAAGTTGAAGGGCCCCAAGTTCAAGATGCCCGAGATGCATATCAAAGCCCCCAAGATCTCCATGCCGGACTTTGATCTGAACCTCAAAGGCCCCAAAGTGAAGGGGGACGTGGACGTTTCTGTTCCAAAACTTGAGGGAGGTTTGAAAGGGCCGGACGTTGACATCAAAGGCCCTAAACTGGACGTTAATGTTCCCGACGTTGACCTCGAGTGTCCAGAAGCAAAGTTGAAAGGCCCAAAGTTCAAGATGCCCGAAATGCACTTCAAGACACCAAAAATCTCCATCCCTGACATCGATTTGAACCTGAAAGGTCCTAGGCTGAAGGGAGATGTGGATGTGTCAGCCCCCAAACTAGAGGGTGACGTGAAAGGCCCAGATGTTGACATCAAAGGCCCTCAAGTAGATGTAGACCTTCCTGACGTTGAGCTGGAAGGCCCTGAAGGGAAGCTGAAGGGCCCCAAGTTAAAGATGCCAGACATGCACATCAAGGCCCCCAAGATCTCCATGCCGGACTTTGATCTGAACCTGAAAGGACCCAAAGTGAAGGGGGATGTAGATATTTCCATTCCCAAGTTAGAAGGTGACCTGAAAGGCCCAGAGGTTACAGTAAAAGGTCCAAAAGTGGACATAGAGACACCGGATGTTGAGTTAGAATGTCCAGAAGGGAAGCTGAAGGGCCCCAAGTTCAAGATGCCAGAGATGCACATCAAGGCCCCCAAGATCTCCATGCCCGATGTTGACTTCAACCTGAAGGGCCCCAAAGTGAAGGGGGATGTGGACTTGTCTGTTCCCAAGCTGGAGGGTGATCTGAAGGGCCCTGAACTGGACATCAAGGGCCCCAAAGTGGACATTGAGGCACCTGACGTGGACCTTCATGGCCCAGAAGGGAAATTCAAACTGCCCAAGTTCAAGATGCCCAAGTTCGGGATGCCGGGCTTCAAAGCGGAAGGTCCGGAGGTGGACGTGAACCTGCCGAAGGGAGACCTGGATGTTTCTGGTCCAAAGGTGGACATCGAGGGTCCAGAGTTGGATATCAAAGGGCCGGAGGCAAAGATGAAGGGTCCCAAGTTCAAGATGCGTTGAAGGCCCTGAAGGGAAGTTGAAGGGCCCCAAGTTCAAGATGCCAGAGATGCACATCAAAGCCCCCAAGATCTCCATGCCTGACATTGACTTGAACCTGAAGGGCCCCAAAGTGAAGGGGGACGTGGATGTGTCTGTTCCCAAGCTGGAAGGTGACTTGAAGGGCCCTGGAATTGACATCAAAGGTCCCAAAATTGATGTGGACCTTCCTGATGTTGAGCTGGAAGGCCCTGAAGGGAAGCTGAAGGGCCCCAAGTTCAAGATGCCAGACATCAACATCAAGGCCCCCAAGATCTCCATGCCTGACGTGGACATTAATCTGAAAGGCCCCAGCGTGAAAGGGGACATTGAAGTCTCAGCCCCCAAGCTGGAGAGTGACCTGAAGGGCCCTGAGGTGGACATCAAGGGCCCCAAAGTGGACATTGAGGCACCTGACGTGGACCTTCACGGCCACGCCTGATGTGGACCTTCATGGCCCAGAAGGGAAATTCAAACTGCCCAAGTTCAAGATGCCCAAGTTCGGGCTGAAAGGAGAGGGCCCAGAGGTGGACGTGAACCTGCCAGAGGGAGACCTGGATGTTTCTGGTCCAAAGGTGGACATTGAGGGTCCAGAACTGGACATTGAAGGGCCAGAGGGGAAGTTGAAGGGCCCCAAGTTCAAGATGCCAGAGATGCACATCAAAGCCCCCAAGATCTCCATGCCTGACATTGACTTGAACCTGAAGGGCCCCAAAGTGAAGGGGGACGTGGATGTGTCTGTTCCCAAGCTGGAAGGTGATTTGAAGGGCCCTAAAATCGATATCAAGGGCCCCAAAGTTGATGTGGACCTTCCTGACGTTGAGCTGGAAGGCCCTGAAGGGAAGCTGAAGGGCCCCAAGTTCAAGATGCCGGAGATGAATATCAAGGCCCCCAAGATCTCCATGCCCGACGTTGACTTCAACCTGAAGGGCCCCAAAGTGAAGGGGGATGTGGACGTGTCCCTTCCCAAGCTGGAGGGTGACCTAAAAGGTCCTGAGGTGGACATCAAGGGTCCCAAAGTGGACATTGAGACGCCTGATGTGGACCTTCATGGCCCAGAAGGGAAATTCAAACTGCCCAAGTTCAAGATGCCCAAGTTCGGGCTGAAAGGAGAGGGCCCAGAGGTGGACGTGAACCTGCCAGAGGGAGACCTGGATGTTTCTGGTCCAAAGGTGGACATCGAGGGTCCAGAGCTGGACATTGAAGGCCCTGAAGGGAAGCTGAAAGGCCCCAAGTTCAAGATGCCTGAGATGCACATCAAGACTCCCAAGATCTCCATGCCTGACGTTGACTTCAACCTGAAGGGCCCCAAAGTTAAAGGAGACGTGGACTTGTCTGTTCCCAAGCTGGAAGGTGATTTGAAGGGCCCTGAAATTGACATCAAAGGCCCCAAAGTTGATGTGAACCTTCCTGACGTTGAGCTGGAAGGCCCTGAAGGGAAGCTGAAGGGCCCCAAGTTCAAGATGCCAGACATGAATATCAAGGCCCCCAAGATCTCCATGCCCGACGTTGACTTCAACCTGAAGGGCCCCAAAGTGAAGGGGGATGTGGATGTGTCCCTTCCCAAGCTGGAAGGTGATCTGAAGGGCCCTGAACTGGACATCAAGGGCCCCAAAGTGGACACTGAGGCACCTGACGTGGACCTTCACGGCCCAGAAGGCAAATTCAAACTGCCCAAGTTCAAGATGCCCAAGTTTGGGATGCCGGGCTTCAAAGCGGAAGGTCCGGAGGTGGACGTGAACCTGCCACAGGGAGACCTGGATGTTTCTGGTCCAAAGGTGAATATTGAAGGTCCAGAGCTGGACATTGAAGGGCCAGAAGGGAAAGTGAAGGGTCCCAAGTTTAAGATGCCTGAGATGCACATCAAGACACCCAAGATCTCCATGCCCGATGTTGACTTCAATTTGAAGGGTCCGAAGTTGAAGGGAGATGTGGACACGTCCCTTCCCAAGCTGGAAGGTGACCTGAAAGGTCCCGAGTTGGACGTCAAGGGCCCCAAAGTCGACATTGAAGCGCCTGACGTGGACATTCATGGCCCAGAAGGTAAAATAAAAATGCCCAAGTTTAAGATGCCCAAGTTTGGGTTGTCCGGGTTGAAAGGAGAAGGCCCAGACGTTGACGTAAACCTCCCTGAAGCAGACGTTGCTATTTCAGGTCCAAAGGTTGACGTTACCGTTCCTGACCTTGACATCGAAGGACCAGAAGGAAAACTTAAGGGCCCTAAATTTAAGAAGCCTGAAATCCAATTCAATGTCCCCAAAATCTCCATGCCAGACATCGATTTGAACTTGAAAGGCCCCAAACTGAAAGCTGACATTGATCCTTCTCTTCCCAAAATTGAGGGTGAGCTGAAAAGTCCTAAACTGGACATCAAAGGGCCAGAACTTGAGGTTGAGGCACCGAAACTTGATCTGGAAGGAAAGACTAAAAAACCCCGTTTTAAACTTCCAAAATTTGGCTTTTCTGGTCCTAAAGTGCAAAGTCCAGATGTTGACGTGAAACTTAAAAAACCTGACGTTGAAGTATCAGGGCCGAAAGTTGACGTTCACGCTCCAGATGTGGACGTCCAGGCCAAAGCCAAAGGGCCAAAATTTAAAATGCCTTTCCTGAGTATTTCCTCACCCAAAGTTTCGATGCCGGATGTGGAGCTAAACCTGAAAGGGCACAAACTAAAAGGAGACTTAGATACTTCCAGCCCCAAGTTGGAAGGGGAACTGAAAGGTCCTGAGGTGGACATCAAAGGCCCCAAAGTCAACGTTGAGGCACCTGACATGGATGTTCATGGGCCGGAGGCGAAACTCAAAATGCCCAAGTTCAAAATGCCGAAATTCGGCGTGTCGGGGTTTAAGGCCGAGGGACCGGAGGTGGACGTTGGCCTTCCCAAAGGAGAGCTAGAGGTGTCGGGTCCCAAGCTGGACATGGAAGGTGCTGGTTTGGAAATCGAAGGGCCGGAGGGGAAGGTCAAGGGCCCCCATTTTAAGATGCCGGAAATTAACATCAAGGCCCCCAAGATCTCCATGCCTGACATTGACCTTGACCTGAAAGGCCGCAAGGTGAAGGGGGATGTGGACGTCGCCCTTCCCCAGGTGGATCTGAAGGGCTCAGATTTGCACTTGAAAGGACCAAAAGTGGATGTAGAGGTTCCTGATGTTGACGTTGAAGGTCCCAAAGGAAAAGTGAAGGGCCCCAAATTTAAAATGCCTGAAGTGAACATCAAAGCTCCAAATATTTCCATGCCGGACTTGGATTTGAGTTTGAAAAGCCCCAAGACGAAAGGCGGTGTGGACATCGATCTCTCAGGGCCGAAACTGGAAGGGCACTTGAGCACACCGGACATTAGTGTCAAAGGCCCAAAGGTGGACATTGATGCTCCTGAGCTGGACATCGAAGGGCCTGAAGGAAAAGTGAAGGGCCCCAAGTTCAAGATGCCAGAGATGCACATCAAGGCCCCCAAGATCTCCATGCCTGACGTTGACCTCAAACTGAAGGGACCCAAAGTCAAGGGGGATGTGGACGTGTCTGTTCCCAAGCTGGAAGGTGATCTGAAGGGTCCTGAGCTGGACATCAAGGGTCCCA